ATATACACAACTCCCTAAAATAGACGGTCCCCTGCCTTAGTATATAGAGTATACTCAGTTCCCTGCCCCCTTCCAGTTCTTTCCTGCCCTTGGTGCTTTTTCTTACTCGTTCGCCTGGCCTAATAACTCCCACCATCACCTAATAACTCCCATCATGCACCTACATACATCTCGCCTTCTTCAAGTTGCACCTCTTGTAAAAGCTCTTCCCTGATACCGTCCCCATGCCCACCTGTTATAGGTGACTTTTCTTTCAGTGAAGGACCTTGTTTATTTATTGTCTTATATGAAACTCTCATGGGTTAGCTACTCTTTTAGACCTTGCATTGTAATGATTTTGTTAGAGCCTAAGTTATGAACAAATTCCATATGGAGGCTCAGTTGACTCACAGTGCCAAGAAGGGTTTCTAGCACACAATAGGTATTTGGTTAAACTTCTTAAACAAAGTAACATAAAGAATATGCATTGCCTCCTCCTTGATAGCTCAGAAATATTTTTATTTAATTATTGTGCTGAGCTTTAGTTATATACTTTAAAACACCCAGTTTATCTCTGTGCCTTTTCTGTACGGTTCCTTAAATTAGAGCCCATTCTTCTAATGGCAAAGGCCAAATTAGGAGTTGCCAAAAAAGGGTAACACTCCCTGTAGAATTAATTTGGTGGAAAACTGAATTCCCTTGGTGCTTTCTTACCTGCCATATGGGTTTTATTTTATTACTGCTTTAGTCTTTTAGTAGTAATCATACATAAATATATACATACATATGTATTTATTTACATTAATAAACTTATCATTAAATGCTTTGGCTTTGAAATGTAGCATCATTTTTTTGCATATGTTTAAGATAACATTAACATTATATAATCTGGATAATATTTTGAAAATAAAAACAAAAATAAAACATTGCATTTTTTTATTTTTTATTTTTTCAAATGTTTCTGTGGTATCAAAGACTTGAAAATCCAAGGCTTTTGTAGTCAACAGTTGAAGTTTCTGCATATAAGAAAATGAAATATGAAACACAGAACAGGTGTTTACTTAAGTTTTTAAAACTATATTATTGAGAATAAGTAAAATAGAAATTCAAAGAATGGAAAGGTTGTCAGAGGGATTTGAAGAGAGGAAATAAGAATAACGTGGAAGCATTTCTAGATGGGCAAAAGGGTGATAAAGGCAGAGAGTCAGGGAGCTGGGCTTGAGGCAGGTGCGCCTGTGAAGTTGCTGCAAAGGATCCGTTACACTTGATTGCTTGCTTGGTGTTAGAGAGGGGAGGGAGCTATGGTGTAAGATGTAGGAGGCTGGGTACAGTCTAGTAACGGATAAGTTCACATTTTTTTTCCTGGGGACCCCAGAGCTGGGAGAGACTTAGAGCAGACATCAGAAGTGATAAAGAGAATTGTGCCTAAACTCTGTTTTGAAGAATTTTAATTTTTTTTCCATCTTTTTGGATATTAAGGTACTACTCTTCTGGAGTAAGGTTATATTTTGGGTTTAAAAGTTAGTTTTACGGTAAGATATGAAAGGGAGTTTTCTGAGGAGGTATCAAAGGACTAGAGCTGGAAGACTGTGGTATATTTGAGGGAAAACAATAAAGCTTTTGGACTCTATAAGCATCTGACCTGGATTTTAGGACTAAATTTCCAAGTACCAATCTTAAAATGAGGATAATATATATTTTTTCCTATTCATTTTGCCCAAGGCACTTGTCCTAAAGGCCATAAAAAGGGCTGCTGAAAGTAGCTGAGTAAGAAAGTAGGTCAGATGCTTTGGGAGATTTCAAATGCATTTATCACTTATTATTAGGTAGGTAGGTAGATACATACATATATACGTACATACATGCACATACATACATACAAACATACACATAGGTACAGAGATCTATACTTAAATATACATCATGCATTCTGTTATAGGTTAATTTTCTTTATATAGCAAGAGCTAACCAAGAAAGTATTTAAACCAATGGCATTGCTAGGGTGTGTACTAGTTGGTGGAGGGAAAGGGGAGCAGGAACGGGGAGAGAAGACAGAGAGTGCCTGCCACCGACAGCTCACGGTTCCGCACCTTCTAGGCAAGAGGCGCGGCTGAGCTAAGTGGACATCCCTCCCCGCAATATGAAGTCCAACCCATTGAAACCGAGCTTCGTGCAAATGCCACCCAAGCATCCCGCTGCCCTTCTGATGTCACCAGATTCCACACTTCCCTGTCATCACATTCCACATCTTCTCTGTTGCTAGGTACCCTGGGCGCTCTTATGTTCCGAAGCTCCAGGTGCTGTTTTTCCTTCGGACTCAGATAGGGAGTCTGTGGTTGAAATGCGGCGGTCCCCGGGCTAACCTCCGGGGGCCTGTGAAAGTGAAGGCCGCGCCCGCAGCCCCCGGGATGGGGAAGAAGCAGGTGCCCCAGAGCCCTCAGCCGAGGGGAGGTGGTTATGGTGAGGAGGAGTCTGAGATCTGTGGTTTTAATTCTAAAAAAGTCTCCTTGAGAACGGATAAAAGCCTTTACCATGGTTACCCAAAGCCACGCGACGAAAAACAGTTCGCTTACCCTCAGTTTCAAGTCTGCTCACTTCTTTATGTTCGATTTTTCTAATACAGACATCGAAAACTTTGCTTTACATTTTGATTTATTAAACAGTGGCATGTGAGGTTATTGATTATTTTACTCTTTACATTATAAAATATGTGAATATATATTTGATACAAATTAGTAAATTATTATTTGTTTTCCATAAAAAATTCTGATTTACTCAGGAATGAAATATGTAAAGCTATTGAATTTAGTTACCTTGGTAACATCTGCAGTGAACTAGTTTGTCTAAAGATATTTTCTCCTTTATCCATTTATTGTTTGTACCAAAATTATAAATACATGACTTTTATTAAAGACTCTCCTGATAAATGATAATGTTTATTTTACCTGCAAAATGAATAACTGGTACACTATTTAGTAAATATGTGTGATGATTTCAGATTAAAGGAACAAATATAGCATGTTTAAATTTTAACTACAATGGGTACTGGATTTGTTTTATGTTAATGTAGATTTTTATTTTAAAATGTAGTATTTCTTTAGGGTTATTCATTATTTTATTGATAAAATTTCTTACATGAAATGGTTAGTATTTTTTTAAAGGATTTTAATACAAAATGTTAAGTCACATTTTTCTTTATGAATTAAGTTTTCTTTAGACTTTTAGAAAAGAATAACTTAACCCAAAATTACCTTTCATACTTTAGCATAAGAATTTGACATAGTATAAAAAATATGAACAATTTTTCAAATTACATATATATATATATATTTCCCCAATTATTTCAAAAACTTTAAATATTTCATTATTAAAAGCATGTTTTTGACCCTAGCCAGTTTTCTCAGTGGTTAGAGCATCATCAGTATGGGGACTGAAGGGTCTTGGGTTCAATTCCAGTCAAGGGCACATACCATGGCTGCAGGTTCAGTCCCTGGCCCCAGTCAGGGCGAGTGCGGGAGGCAACCAATCGATGTGTGTCTCTCACATCGATGTTTCTCTCTCTCTCCCTCCCACTCTCTCTGAAAAGCAATGGAAAAATATCCATGGATGAGGATTTTTTTTTAAAAAGGATGTTTTTGATTTTGCAAATTAATAGTATGGAAAATGCAATTTCATATTATTTATGGCCAGCTTCCTAAATTCTCGTATGTATGTTTTCTCTCCACACTAAGTCTTTTCTTGAATGGATACATAAAAAGAGTAATTGAAAGTAGAATCTTTGAACACGGTTTAACTTTTTCTCAAAATACTTTTAGGAAACTTGTTCTAAAATTCCGTTTTACTGAAAATTAAACTTAGTGCTCTTTGTGTTCAATAGAATATTATTGCTCTTAGTCATATTTATATGGCTTCATCAATAGCTTTTAACTAATGAAAACATTTTAATGACTTTGTCCTTCATAATTCTTTAAAATTAATAGCAAATTCTTATCACGTATGAAAAGATGAAATTAAGAGAAATAGAATGTGATTGTTTTACGTAAACTTGTTTCTTGCTCTTAGTAAAGTATCATTAATATGCTTTCTCTAAACAAGCTTATCATTTATTTTAAAGCCAGAAAAGTTTTTATTAACTCTGCTTCTTCTCCTTCTTCCCTGTTTTGCCTTTATTCTATAGTTATTTTTGTTATTAAAAAATTACATATGTTGTAGATAACAAAGAATATTAGAAGATCCAGTGCCACATAGTTAAGAAGAAATCAATATTAACATTTTAGATTATATCTTTTCAGTCTTTTCCTTCTGTGTTTATGTGTTTGCATTTCACAAAATTGGGATTACACTGACCATTCTCTTTTGTAGCTAGATTTTTCCATTTAATTCTTTGACTCACATTTTTCTATATCTTTAAAATGGAATGTTGAATAACTCCTTAATATTCTAATCATTCTATCATGTATTAAGCAAGTCTTCTATTTTTGGTAATTTATATCAAGTGTTTGCGATTATAAACAACACTGGCATAAATGTCTTTTCACCTGCACAGAAATACACACGATTAAACTTCTTCTGCTTGAAGTCCCAGAAGTGTAATGGCTGCAACGAAGTTTATGAGCCTTTCCTACATTTTAGATGCATATTAAACACCCACAAAGCTTGAACCAGTGTGCACAGTGCTTGCTTTTATGAGAGAATTTTTACCAAATATGGATGTTCTCACCAGAAAAACAAAAGCTACTTGTAAAATAACTGACGATTATCTTATTCTCTTTGCTTAAATGTACTTTTTGAGATTGCATTTGAGATTAAGCTGTTTTCTCTATTTTTCTTCTTTTTCTTACTTTGCTGCACTTATTCTTGTGCCTAAATGTGCCCACTGTATTAAAAGTCACAAGGGAGCTTTACTTAAATGTAAAATTAGCCCAATGCCAAGCACATAATAGGAGTTCAATGAACACTAGTTGAAGTAGAAACTGAGTGGCACATTAATTAAATCAAATATAATTTTTCCCCCCCAACAGATGATTCTGCTGCAGAGAGCTTTAATGGCAATGAGACTCTGGGGCAAAGTTCAGTTGCTTCAGGGGGAACACACAGCAGGGAGATGGGCGACTCCAACGGTGACGGCAAAGCGGGGCTGGAGCAGGACCAGCAGCCACTGAACCTGAGCGACAGTCCCCTCTCCGCGCAGCTCACTTCGGAATACAGAATAGATGATCACAACAGTAATGGAAAAAACAAATATAAGAATCTTCTAATCTCTGACCTCAAGATGGAGCGAGAGGCGAGAGAAAATGGAAGCAAGGTAAGGGCATGCTACGATTTTCAGAGAACCTTTAATTTGGCCGTGAAGGTCACAAAGAAATTCACATTTACACAGGAGATGAGGATTATTATTAAAAAATTATCTAAAAATATTTCAAACAAATCCCGATAATCGATTACCAAGAACCTTGTCACCGCGGATGCCGGGTGTCCACATAATATAATCTAAGCAATACGTTTAAGGAATGACAGGGAGCACAATGAGGCCTGCCCAGGGACAGCTGTGGGCCTGTCTACACGGGATCACTTGATTTCAGGTCTCTCACTCACATAGTCTCTAATGGATTCCTGCCTGGGAGTTTGCTGAGCTCAGATGTGGAAGTTCAGCTCTCTGAACACAATCTTCCACTATAAAAAGAACACACCACTATCTAGTTTCTCCGATCAGACAGGTGTATATAGCAATAAAGTTTCAATTAAAGCCTCTAGTTTGCTTTAGAGACCTGAGAACTTTGGCCAGTGATTCGATTTATGTACACAGGAGAAATGTGTCAGTGTTCTAGATGAAACATGCAGGTTAAATAAGTACTTGAACAAGTATTTTATCAGAAACCGTGTTATACAAAAGAGAGAAAACATGTTTCGGACATATCCAGATTTCTAGATTCTTTATTTTTTTGTTTAATTTTTTAAAAATTTTATTGATTTTATTGGGGTGGCATTGGTTAATAAAATTATACAGGTTTTAGGTGTACAATTCTATAATTCATCATCTGTATATTGTAATGTGTTCACCACCCAAAGGCAAGTCTCCTTCCATCACCATTTATCCCCCCTTTATTCTCTTCTCCCTCTCCCCACTGCCCTTTCCCCCTGGTAATCACCATGCTGTTGTCTGTTTCTATGAGTCCTGTTTTTGTTTTTTGCTGAATTCCTTCATCTTTTTCACCCAGCTTCCCCATACACTCCCCTCTGACGGCTGTTAGTCTGTTCTCTGTATCTATGAGTCTGTTTCTATTTTGTTTGTTAGTTTATTTTGTTCAATAGATTCCACATATAAGTGAAATCATATGGTACTTTTCTTTTTCTGACTGGCTTATTTCACTTAGCATAATACTCTCCAGGTTCAAGCATGCTGTCGCAAAAGGTAAGATCCCCTTCTTTGTTATAGCCAAGTAGTATTCCTTTGTGTAAATGAACCACAGCTTTTTTTATCCACTCATCTACTGATGGGCACTTGGACTGCTTCCAAATCTTGGCTATTGCTGCAATGAACATAGGGGTGCATATGTTCTTTCAAATTAGTGCTTCAGGTTTCTTTGGATATATTCCTAGAAATGGAATTTCTGGGTTATAAAGAAGTTCCATTTTTAATTTTTTGAGGAAACGCCATCCTGCTTTTCCACCATCCATGCACGAGGGTTCCCTTTTCTCCATGTCCTTACCGACCCGTTTACTGATTTATTGATGATAGCAATTCTGACAGGTGATTAATATCATTAAAATGTTCATACTACCCAAAGCAATCTATAGATTCAACATAACTCCTATCAATATAAAAATGGGATATTTCATAGAACTAGAACAAATATTACAAGACTTTATATGGAACCACCAAAGACCCCAATAGCCGCAATAGTCTTGAGAAAGAAAAACAAAGTTGGAGGAATCACACTACAGAATACAAGACCATAGTAATCAAAGCATCATGGTACTGACATAAAAACAGACATAGAGATCAATGGGACAGAATAGAGAGTCCAGAAATAAACCCACACCTTTATGGTCAATTAATATTTGACAAAGAAGGCAAAAACATACAATGGGGTAAAGATAGTTTATTTAATACATGGTGTTTGGAAAATTGGACAGATACATATAAAAATGAAACTGACCACATTCTTACACCACACACAAGAACAAACTCAAATGGATAAAGGAGTTTAATGTTAGACTCAAAACCATGAAAGTCCTGTAAGAAAACACAGGCAGTAAAATCTCGGACATTTCTCATAGCAGTATTTTTTCTAATATTTTTCCTCAGACAAGGGAAACAAAAACAAACAAACAAATGTGACTACATCAAATTGAAAAATTTTTGCACAGCAAAGGAAACCACCAACAGAATGAAAAGACAACCCACTGAATGGGAGAAGATATTTGCCAATGATACATCTAATAATAGGTTAATATCTAAAATTTATAAAGAACTTATAAAACTCAACACCAAAACCGACAAACAATCCAATTAAAAAATGGGCAAGGGACTTAAATTGACACTTCTCCAAAGAGGACATACAGATGGATAACAGACATATGAAACGATGCTCAACCTCACTAATCACCAAAGAAATGCAAATGAAAACCACAATGAGATATCGCTTCACATCTAGATTCTTTACATTAGAGTAAGTTACAATCTTCCCCATTCCCAATTTATTTATTTTTTAAATTAAGCTTAATTACTACCAATTTGAAGTAACGCATGCTAGTGACTTGGCTCTATAATTTTTTAAGGTATACTCTGGAACACATGAGGACTTTTATAGAATATACATTTTGACTTCCTCCCCCCAACCCCCACCCATCCCCATTTTAAGTTAGAGTTGTAGAGCTGGTTTTTTGACATAGATCCCCTAAAAGCAAAATGTCTTAATCAGGATTAATTTCTGAGTTTGCTGAGACACTAGACTTTCTACAGTGGCTCTAGTTAAACCCTCTACTTGCCTGAGGATGTGTCGTTTTATCTTCTTTTAAGCAAGTTACTAGACATTATCAGACACTTAAGCACTTCTGCCTGAGGGCGGATGCTCTAACTTTCGCTGTGGTAAGTGCACAAGTATCCTCTTCAGTGGTTTAAAGCCGAGTCACACAAACACAGGTGATTTTATATTCGCCAACAGGATCTGAATCACTGTGGTGCACCTGACAGAACAAAATAGCCCTTAAGTTTTCCTGCCAGCCACGTAATCCTGTCTTTATAAAACTTACATAATTATGAAATGCCCTTTTTATGCCATTTATCTGTTGATTGTTTTTTAAATTACCCAGCGGTTTGCTCTTTATTGCCTTGCTTACTGTTAATATATGAACCATGCTCATTGAAACACATCCTCCCACTCATTAAATTCATGAAGTTACTTTTCCACTTCTATTAAAATAGAGCTATAAACAAAGCACAGGCTGTTTGAGTTGCTTGTGAGGGATAACATGGGAAGTGGACCTGGGAGAAGGAGATACCCCCAAGGAACTGAAAGTTGAATGGTTTGGTCAAGGAAAAAACAGCTCCCACAGTTGACTGGGGAGCAGCCAGAGAGGCAGAAGAAAGATCCGAAGGGTATAGTGTATGGGAGCTAAGTCAGGCCTGCTTTTCAAGAAGGAGTGGGTTCAGCTCTGATGGACAATGTTGAGATACCAAATAAAATGGAGATAGGAAAGAATTGAACTTGTGAGAACTGGCTCGGTCGTACATTGGGACCAGAATCCCGAGGGACTCTTTATTCATTCCTTCAAAAGGGGCATATTAAATATCTGTCACCCTTATACCAATGAAGTAGTCAGCAAGGACAACTCAAAGAGAGGAAAGTCTTTATGAGGCTCTTTGATAAATAAAGTACATATACCTAGAGAAGTTTCTTAATGAAAATAGAGGCAAATATAGATCCCTGTGTTAAAATATTGAGAGTCCTAAGTAGGGAAATACCATTTCTATTTAATTAATAAAGAGGGTTTCCTAGAGGAAGCGAGTCTTGAACTTTGAAGGAAATGTCAGATTACCTTTTTTTCCCCCAAAAGGGATCTCCTGTTAGACACCTTGAAGGGCTTGGAATGCAGAACAGGGAAGATGAGTTGATCTCACAGGGTAGGGAACCACTGTCCATTCAGAATTATGTATGACTTCATAACATGATATTTGAGAAGAACCTGATATTTGCAAGATAGACTGTTTGCCATCCATTAATTCGCCAATTATTTACTGAGGGATTCCTACATACAAGACACTGTTATGGAAAGCAAAAATAGAGAAATGAACAAAGCAGAGTCCCTGGCCCTCAAAAACTTACAGTCCAGAAGGAAAAGGAGGCCAACTTGTAGTTATAATCTGATTCCACAAGTAATATGATGCACATATGGCAGGGGGAAATGAGAGGACAGATGTGGGCACCCATGGGACTCCAGTGATTCTTAGGGACGACTTTATAGAGAGACTGATGCTGGGGATGAATATGAAGGGCAGGTAGAAATTATTCAGATGGAGAGGGTTTTTATGGTAGAGCATGTCTTGAGGCATAGACATGAAAGAGCATATTTGGCACGGAGATTTGTAAGGAGCTTAGCACGGCCACAGCAGGGAATGTGTTTGGAGTGACGGAGTGTAAAGAGGCTCCATCAACAAAGGCTTTGTAGCCAGTCTAAGGACTCTGCGTTGTATCCTATAGGTAGGGTTTAGCATGATAAGGTTGTGGTCAGCTTGGGATTTTGGAAAGATTTTTCTGGCAACATTATAGTGGATGAACAGGATGGTGACTAGGAAAATAGATAAAAACTGGTTAGGGAGCTACTGTGGCAATTCAGAAAGAAAGTAATCCAGAGATATTACTTTTGTTCTTTTGAAACTGTATTTGTAGGACCACCATCTAGAGTTCCATAGGTTGTATATTGCCAGGCTCCTGGAAATGTCTTTCACACGGAGTACAATATGAATGGCCTCATTGCCTCTGTACATACCATTAGAGTATAAATTCTGCAAGTGTGATGTCTGCCTTGCTTACTGCAGTAGGTCTAGCAACTGACTTAGTATCTCGTTCAGAATACTTTCCCAAATATTTGAAGAAATAAAGTTATATCAAAGGTGGGAAGTGAAGCAGAGAACATTCTAGAATGACTCCAGGATTTGGGGCTGGGATGCCTAAGTGGGTGATGATTTCCTTTATGAATGAAATCTGAATGAGAAACATTTGAAGAAGCAGCTTTGACATGTAAAGTTTATGGTGCCTGTGCAATATCCATTGGATATGTTTAATGGGCTTCAGGGAACAT